GTTTATAGTTTCGAAATCCTGAATGCAATTGCAACAGCAGGTCGGGTTCGAAATTATTCGGAAATTAGAAAATTTTTAAGACCAAATTATACTCTTCCTTCGAATACCACATCGGAAGAAGACATGATGTTCTACCGAACAAGCAAGATAATTAATATTTTGATGCATATCTTTAATGAAATATATTGAGTTTTCATGGACATCGAGAACCAATGAGAAAATTGCATGCTGCTTAATTAGTCTTTTTTGCATGCAGTCGGAAAGAAGTGCATTCGAAAGCCGTCATCCTAAAAGAACTGCATTATTTTTGAATTACGCTGCAAGATGATTGCTTTTTCAACTTGACTTTATTAATCTTTTCGAAACGAGAACGCATTTCGCAATTTCGGTTGACATTTCATGAGTTAGTCCACTTACTGTAGTTCGCTAGGCAGCTGAGATGTCTCGTTTATTGAACCAGCGACTGCAAAACGAGTGTATCCACTCAAGGATCTTTCGGCTATCCGAGCAGACAGGCAGAGTTAGGTCGCAAAGATGACGATTCCGTCCATGAACTCGGGAAACGGAGCGACTAGAGTGGTCTGAGACATCATTGTGCCGCACTAAAGACCTCCATTTAGATGTTACCAAACGATAGTGGCACTTCTCACCAGTTTTATGGTACACCCTACTCCCTCAGTTTAACACCGCTCATGATGTGAATGATGGATCTGCTGCTTACTTTTCGGACAAACTTGGACGGGTTTGTGGGCACTTCGTGCGTCTTCTCAATTTTACTGGCCGGCTCACCATTACAAGCTCTCTTGTATTATGGAGTTCTCTTCGTCACCAGTCTATGCTATGCCGTGTGACCTTGCCATCCAGGAAACACCACGACACCGAGACCGCGCAAAAGCATGGCGTCCGGAGCAAGCGACATCTGCCCTGAAGTGCACAAGGACAACGGTATGGAGAAGGACCCCAATGACACGATCCACACTGTACTGGCAGTTAAGCGGGGTCCTTCTCTATACCGTTGTCTGCACAAGTCTTGTGTCCGTGGTTTCTCACGTTCACGATTATTGAAGCGTCGAGGAAGGAGAACAATCACTACAAGTGGTACTCAGGCAACCTTCGGCCCGTATTCACAAATAGGTGGGAGAGGGAGTACGTGAAGTAGGCCAACCCAAGCACCCACGACGCTGCTGAAAAGGTCCTTGACACCGTCGCTCTCTAAGAGCTTGAGGGTGCGCATATCTCGAGGACGCGACACCATCTAACCGGGTGGCGCCGAGCTAGACACGAATGAACTAATCAAATGTTCCCACTACAGCGCTCTCCTGAACTCTGCCCCAGCTACCGGCAACCGAGGTCCGACCAGGTTGTCGTGAATTATTTTTAGCCTTACATTCACTCATCCATATCGTTCAACTGCGCTATTGGCCGCATTCACAGAGGGGGCCATAGGTGGTCCGAGCGATGGAAATTTTGCAAATGGACGCTAGTCGTCTGGTCTAAACTGCCCTGACGACATTCGTCCATAACGACCTAGGGCTTACAGCGGTGTGGATGAATGGGGCCGCCCGGTCAGACAGTATACGTATCAACGCTGGGAAGACTGAACAAATAGCACGCTGATGGGCTCGTCAGACGAAACCCTACCGGCAAACTTGAAACGGCGGTTTATAGGAAGGCAACGAGCACCACACAATTTCTCAGTTTTTACAGTAGCCATCCGGTGGCTCGCAAACGAATCTCTTCAGACGCATACAGACCCAGTGCAGCAGACTGGAGGAAGCAGCACGTGAGGCCCGTTATCTCCGCCGCCAGTTTGTGCAAAATGACTGTTCGAAGGCATCCAGTAGTCGCTGCCTATGCTGTCGCCCCCAGAGGACCCAAAAATTAACACCACCAACGACATGGCATTCTCTGCCATATATCAGGGACGTTTCAGAAGCAACCAAACGCACTGCTGTGAAACTAGGTGTTGGAAGTGCACATCACCCCAAAGCCACCATGCGCAGCAGGATCGTGAAAATTCAAGATCGGTTAAAGCCTGGGGAGTAGTGTATCGCAAACCGTGCCAAAACTACCCCTGTTAATACGCAGGCCAGACTGGATGCACGCTCGGATAACGCATACACGAATATAAGCTGGCTGTGCGACGAGACGACGAATTATCACGTGGCCGACCACACCTACGAAATTGTCTTCCCAGACATCAAAACTATTGCCAACGTCAAAAACAAAACGGGCCGAGAATCGATTGAGGCCTTGGCCTCAGGTAAGAACTCAGTCAATCGATTTATCGATCTGGCGACGGGGTACAGAGCTCTGGGCAGCCACCTCCAGTCTTGCGCCATCCACCAGTTATTGGCTAACACGTCATCTGATTTTCGTTTGTGCTGTTGCTGCTTCTATCTCCGAAGATGGACTCCTGCAAAGGTTCGAAAGCCCAGAAAAATAAATAAAGTTTCCGGTGCTCGACTATCCTTCATTCTCACTTACACAAGCTGCCTCTCACACTGGGGGACAAAATGCATTTTAAATACTAGTTTTCAGTTCAGATAGGGACACGATGTCGGCAATACGCGGACGATGATGCTGGAAAACAAGTAATTAATGGGGGTATTCCAGCTGAAATAAATGCCGCCGGGAGGTTGCAAACCAGAGTCGCACTTTTGTCTCCTAGTGAGGCCTCCAACCGGTATACTAAGAAGTGTTTTGGATTGAACCAGCATACCGGTCCTCGTAAAAAAGCATTGTAATTATACTGTCGCGTATTTTATTGCCGGAATTCGTAAACTACAGATGACAGACAATGGGATCGGTCACGCCGACATCGCAAACTCGAACGAGGAATTCACAACCCTCCAAGTACCACACTGACACAAGAACGGATGCCACCGAAAGCGGGTTTAAGTAAACAGTTCTCATGTTTTTTCAAGCAAAAGGAGTTCAGTTCGTCGCAGCCTCATCGCTCAGTGGAGACTAGGCCCAGTGCAATGTTTGTGCTTTTCTCAACTGAAAATGACAAGCTTTGCTGTCTTTGACAGTGAAGCACACAATGTGGTCCAGTTGTACATCAAAATTTTAAGACTTCTCAGGGCTGAGTTGCAAAGCACATTAAAAGCATGCAGGGAAACATGAAGTATGCCTGTAGTCGCAGAGACTTTAACAGGGAACTAAACGCAACAAGAGTGGAGTGAAATAGCATCTGTCAGTGCTGTCACCGCATACCACGATGTGCACTTTTACATGCCCCTTACGCGTTCGGTTGCATTTCAAACCATACGTAAAGTTTTCAGAAAAGCTTTCTCAGATTTCGACACCTACTTAAAGTTAACGAGTAGTATATATACCCTCAGTGACGAGTATTACACAAATCGGTTCCTAATACGGGCCGTCATCATGCAGAATCCGAAGACATTTCGGCTAGGCCAGGACGCCGGTTTTTGAATGTACTTCTTTTCAGCCGTCTGCAAAAACCGCACTTGGTAGAAAAGCACTGCGCGAGTAGTATAACTTCTTTTCTAACTTTTTTGATGCCTTTACTAATTGAAATATGTATTATGAAAAATATTATAAAAAATGTCTCTTCATACACCCATTTGATAGACAGTCATGCCTACTTCCAATTTTATATTCGAGGACGATGTTCTTTTGGTTTAAAAGACTACAATTACATTTGGCTTTAGGATCTATAGTACGCAAATTTCGTACTTTCTAAGCAAGGAAAATTACAAATTTTGTTTATGTCATTAAAAAGATAGTAAATGCGATTTACGATATTTTGCAGTGAATGTTGACTGTGCTGCGTACTGCATAAAGAGCCTCAATAAACGGGCAAATGGGATGCTTTTTGAATGGGCATCTGAAGGTTTGATAAACTCTTATAATTTCGCATTTATAAAACCGCAAATGCCTTCTCGTCGAGTGTACTAATTGAAAAAGACGTTACTTGTGATAAACGACTGCATTAAGGATATCTTTAGCTTTCAATAACATATACGGTATGGCAGGAGAATAAGTACTCCTCCCCCATAATACAGGTGGCCTTGAGTTAAATTACTTGGTTGGGATGGAGGTCAGTATTAGCATGGAGATTAAGAGGGTTCCAGTCGGGGCTAGAGGCGACGCGCGAACAGATACGCCACTGGAACTGATCGCAATGCCTTCTGCAATACGGGCGACCCTTATTCCCCTGTCCAACCAAACATATTTTCATCTACAAGGGCATCGTCAATCAGTTGATCAAACTCATAAATATTTAAGTGGCTATTTTTTACCGAGTGCAACTTTTGCATTCACAAACCCCTAATCCTGCCGTGACTGAAATACCCTGGTGATTATGCCACACGATAATCACTATCACAGCCCCACCAGCGTATACCTTCCAAATCGAAAACGCATTTCCGACTTTATTTTAACACGGCATGAAATTCGTCACTCAGGATTAGCGCGATTATTATCGACTAGCTTATTTACGTATGTCTTACTGTCCTCCGGGCCAGTAAACCTGCATGCTAGTGATTTGGTCCAGACCGGCGTCTTCTGGTTACTTTTCTCGGTGGCCGATCGAAGGAGAAACTCTGATGTCCGTCAGCTCATTCACCGACTGCTAACCGATTGCCATGTCCTTTTACTGCCTCCCCCCTTCCGCCCACCCCTCCCCCCCGCTGTCAAATCTATCCCGCGTCCCTTTTGTTTCAACTGGGGTCATTCGACTGAGGTCAGCCAGTCAATATTGAGACCATAATCGCTGACCTGGCAACCGGCGTCCGGAGGAGAGGCTGATTCAAAAATCCTTCGTCTATAGGGAAATCAAAGCTCGTAAATGGGACACGTCCGTGTCAGCCTGGAATTCAATTAAGCTCTCTTTCTCTCTCTCTCTTCCTCTCTGTCCTGAAAAAGGTCCTGTAAAACCTTTTCACTCACTTTCGCCCAGTTCTGCCGAAGGACGTTCGAGCGATTCTGTGCGCGTCTGCCGGTTCTTAGTCACGACGCTTCCACCTTCTCATTCACAACTGGACGAGCGGGATCAAATCCTGTCTTTTACTCCTTCCCTCGTATCCACGTTCCCATGCCTTTACTCGCGACTGACTAGCATCACCATCATCATCATCATCATCATCATCATCATCATCATCATCATCATCATCATCATCATCATCATCATCATCATCATCATCATCATCATCATCATCATCATCATCATCATCAACACCACAGCACACGTTGCTCCTCTCAAATTTTATCTCCATTGTACCCGGTAGCCAGACATCCCCCCCCCTCCCGTCTGTGGGAAGCAAAAAATCTAACTCCTCAGAAATATATCGGCATAAATTAAGTCACTTCTGGATTTCCCAACCCTCTCTATCCTCCAATTGAGCAACCTAAAGTTTAGAATTATAAGATTTGTTTATTTCGTGCCCTCTTGAATATATCCATGTCTGGGACACTTGGCTCTTACACACATTTCTAGACAGGGCTAGCGTGTTGCATTTTTCATTTTGACTGTCTGTGTAGTTGACGAATTCAAATGACGATCACAGCTCCTTCCGGAAGGGTGCTCTGACGGCCTGAAAGTGTCTGTACATAAACACCACCACCACCACCATCGCCGTCTCCACCACAAACACCACCATCGCCACAGCCGCCGCCGCCACCGCCACCACCAACATCACCATTATAAAACTCAAGTCAAGTTGTGGTTAGAAGGAGATACGGAGAGAGAGAGAGGCACTTCTCACCCAAAACTGGACAAGGCTGGCCATACCCAACCCTCCCTCGCAGTCTCTCAAGCCTGACTGACTGTCAGGCTTCGCCATCGGTTGTCTAAGCAAACGCGCACCCCTCCAACTCTCAACCACCATCACCACAACGCAGATCCTTCTGTTAGCCTTCAATTTGCACTCTAACTGAGTAATGACAGACCACCTTGCATGATGGAAACAAGAAGAACTAGTAACTTCGATATGGGATCTCGTAAAATCAATCACTTCTGGATGCAAAGGTGGCATGATATACCATAATTGGCAGCAAAGGTACTAAATAGAAGCCCAGACACGCGTGTTTCGTCAATATTACACCGCCATACGACACAGCTGCGGGGGGTTCGGCTCATCATTGGGTTTCCCGGAGTCTCTTATGTGTTCTCCGGTAGATTTGTATGCATATACTACTGGCTGCTCATCGACAGTTTATGAATACTGCGCTGTTATTCCACTGTGACTAAGGGCTTCGGCCCAAATATTTATAACCAGTTTCAGTCTGAACCTAGTAGTCTCAGGCAGACTAATTAATTCCAAGCTAGCGGTTAATTTCTGGGGAAACTGAAAAGCTGCAATGACTTCTGGCTCTCTGAATGATCTCTACTCCAATACCACTGGAATGAAGTCTAGCATCCGTGAACTTGTTTACATTTCTCTCCGAATACAACGACAGCTGGCAGTTTGCGTTTTGGTAGTTTAACTAGCTCTACGATGGATCCGGGAGAGGGCGGGTCATTGGGACGGCGAGGGTAATCAGTGAACTACATCCGTCGCAATGCGCAGACTAAGTCGGTCTCGTGCTGAATTCCGACGGGTCGGGTCTTATTTCTTAGCCGTACCTGCAGTAGACAGGCACCAGCCTAACCCCTAACCCCAACCCCTTACCTTACTCCCTAACCTCAACCACTAACCCTAACCCCAATCCGTAACCTTAACATCTAAACCCTAGCCCCAAACCCCACCCATAACCCATAACCCTAACCCATGACAGGTGCGGCTACAGAATAGGATCCTACCTCCAAGGGGGTTAGGGTTAGCGATAGGGTTTGGGTTGGAGTAAGGGTTCCGGTGAGAGTTAGCATTAGTGTTACGGTTACTGCTGGGGGACGTGAACAGGCATTCACTTTGCATTTAGCACAAGTCAACCAGTAATACAAGGAGGTACCTCTTCCAGCGGCCAGTCATCAAGTTTGCTGAAGAGGAGAAGGGAAGTTGCGGATTCTGTACACCAGCCCGGTCTTCAGGACTGTGCACCCACCCGCATCTCTGCAGGGCTTCGGCGGGCGCGCCTCACGTGAGAACTCGTCAGTATTAGCCTGGTGATATCAGCTCGTGAGTGTTGAGCTCTGCGAAAGCTCTTGGTCGGCTGGATTCGCAGTTAACTGAACGTTGCTCAGTTTATCCAAAATCAGTAATCCCTTAATCTCTACTGGGGGAGGAGGAATGAGTGTGCTATCGCAACGCCTCCAGTGTTATACTATTTGCACGCTGTGGTCTATAGGCCATTTTCGCCGAAGATTGCCATGACTGTTTCATTCTGCGCGAGCGATTATTAATTTCTTCGCCTGTTTGAGCTTGTACATTTATGTTGACGCAGAAATAATGGCCATTTCTGGCTGATTAGCCGTCGACAGCCAGCCTACTCCGCTCCGGGTGTGGATCGCCGAAGATTTTGAGGCGAGATCTTTCGTCATTGAGTTTAGCAAGCTACCATTGAGCCACAGACCCGTTGTCCTGTCAGTCGTGACCTGTAATAGTAACAGTAATAGGAGAATGCTCACTGAAAAGGTTTTGAAACATACTCGTCCCGTCGTGTCTTGGGGTCCAGTCCGGAGCCGTCACCGGTAGTCACCTAGCGACTAGTGGCGTAAGCCGACAATCGGATACCGAAAAAATGCAAAGGAGGCTGGGATGGCCAATTCTAACTTATTAGCCGTCATCAGTTAGTCGTACCCAATATTATGTTTGAGGTACTTGAGACTGGGGCCCGAGATCATTGGTGTTTGGGACCAGCGTTCCCCCTGTTAAGCCGCGGGCACGTTGTTCTGTCGTTTGTGATCCGAAATATTAAATACAACGAGTGACCGGTCTCAAGAATTGCTGGCCGAGATTCTGAAATGACTTTTGGACTAGGATGGATTACTTAGGTGGGATTGTAAGATTTATTATCATGTGGCATAAGCCTATAATATTTCTGACTTGCCTGGAGGTCAGCCTATCTGCGACCTCCTTTAAAAATCGCACTCGGTAACAAAACAACTGCTTAAGTTGTATTCATTTCTCACACTTATTTTCAATGCCCTTTAAATTCAAATGCAGTTCATAGAAAACAAGCATAAAAATATGCTTACTTTTACTTGTTGAACAAAAAATCACGTCTTTCTCAAATTTTACACCCAAAGAAAGGGTCTATTTAGGTTTCAAGTAAGTTTCCCAGTTCCCGAGTAATTTTGAGCTTGATTACCCGTGGCATTACCGCTTAGCAATTTCGGTCTACAAGATGCATGCTGCCGATGCAAGCGAAAATGTTAATTCCAGGAACAAGTTGATCAGAAGAAGAAAAAGAAGAGGAAGAAGAAGAAGAAGCGATCGCTGGAACAAGGGCTTCATTCGCCTGACGTTTCGGATTCTCCCTTGAACACATCATCAGAGACAGTGGCACTGTCACTGTCTGCACTGTACTGCTCGTCAGTTCTGTAAGCCTACATAAGAAGGACCTCCAACCAAAAATATATTTTCAAGTTATAGCCAATGTCTCATGAATTTCTCTTGTCTACTGCACATATATTTTGTTCTTAGTTTGATATATGTACTTTTAAAAACGTCTGAAATCCTGAGGTAATTAGGCTACCAATTTATACCGCATATCTGAACCTAATCGTGCGTTCTGTCGGCGCAGATCTTCCGAGACGCAGGATTGTAGACAATCTAATTAGACAGTCACGGTGATGAGTCTTCCGTAGCACGCTTCCTCCACCTTTCTCATTATCTCACTGATCCAAATCCACTAGATAGCCGAGATAGAATGGTGTTAGAAGAAGGCGGATGGGGACCAAAGGTGTGTGTGTGACCCCTTTCAGATGACCTGTTTTATTTCTCTCGCTGATTTCCCCGGGGGTCTATGCCTGCAGTCATAAACCTGTTCGTGAATCAGGACGACTTCAAAACGGCGGCTTTGTTTAAAGCTCCCCTTCCCCCCAGCCCGCGTCAAATACCGGCGAACTGAAACGCTAATCTCACTACAATTAGACGGACCGCAACAAGTTCCCATGCGTGCATATGGCCACAGTCGCAAGTGCCACGCTTTGAAGTACGCGACGGGAATTAGTTAGTAATGTCCTTTTACTTAGGACAGCATCTTAAAATCTTTGAGCCCCTTCAAAGTACCGCTCATTAGATGATCTGCAATTGTCCCAGTGGTCGTTCACCGTTTAAAACATTTTCTATATTCTACTGAACTAAGGCAGTTATGTGCTTTCCACGATATTTTCTTAACATCTTCTTCCTTCTAAAAACGCTTGCCCTTTAGGTAAAGTTGTTGGAAGCATACTTAAGAGGTCAGTCATGAAGTCTCTGAGGGGACTTATTATCGGAGCTCCAACAGGGTTTCAGATAGAATTTTTCTTGCCTCTCCAAGTTACTGCCATTGACTGAATAATGGGAATGTGCACTGGAGGAGGAGGAGAAGGAGGAGGAGGAGGAGGAGGAGGAGGGCAGTAAGGCCTTAAACAGCTTCTTACAAATGTGTGATTTGCATATTTCGTGAATAAGAGGCCAGTTGCAAACATGAATTGCAGAGACCCCTAGAGGTATATCACGGAACAAAACTGAAGCAACACGTTTAAATCAGCAAGCAACAGAATTATCAGATTTCAGCGCGATTTGGCATAATGTAATCCATAAAACACAGCAGAAACGAAGAACCAATGCACCGCCAGCTTTCATTGAAATCGCTGTTGGCAACGGTAGGTTGTGTGACCCCATCTTGCAACCAGCAACCCTAAACCCGCATAATAAGCGAATAGTGATAATAGGGGTTTTACGGGTGGGGCGTCACCGCAAAGGGGGAACGAGGTAAATGAAATAAAACAGAAGTTAAACAGGTTTCCGTTTAAAGTATTTTTATACGTCTAGATACAGCAACGGAATTGGGCGCGCTAGTTCAAAAATAAATGCAACTCTCAGTAACTAAAAGGTATTTGAATAGACCGCAACCTGCAAATTTGAAGCAGGTCAGGAACCAATAGAACGAAGAACCAGTACTCTGCCGACAGCATGCTCTGAGGTAAGGGTTAAGTATATGCGCGTGGCAGGAAAGTGTTGGCCGCCGTTTTACAAATTCACCAGCGTTTTAACATTTCTGCTTTACTGGCCGACGTAAGCATTCTATCTAACAACATTTCGAATATTTTGTACTACCAGACTCCCCTCCGTGCCGAACGTTTTTTGAAAAATGAGCTCTCCCCCACTAAGAAATTACGTATGGGGGT